TATATATATATATTATTCACTCAATCATCTTTAATTGATCGAAAATTTATTTGAATTTTTGGCTTAAATCAAATTCATATCGGAAAAATGAGTCGAGTTGTAAGCTAAAATTTTGGGCCGAATTCTTTCGAGCTGACCCAACTCAACCCAAATTGAATTATTAACAACCCTAATGATTTTAATACTATGAATTTAACCGATCTAGCTTGAAGGTCATTAATAATTCAAAATTAATTTGAACTTTGGGTAGGACGGCAAAAAAATTTGGATCAAATTTTTTTATTTTGAGCGGACCCCAATTCAACTCGAAATTATAACATTAACAGCATTACTCACCAGCACCACCACCGGAGTGCCGGGCGGCGGTGCCCATGGGCACAAACAGCACCCAACCAAGGTTCAAAAAATCTGGATTAGCCGCGAGCTGAGAGTTCATCCTGATCGTCTCATCCGTATCAGCCGAAAACATTTCACCGATCTTCAACACAGTATCGCCCATCTCCACCGCATAGCTCACAACCACCCCCTCGCCGCCAGATAAACACCCGCAGGGCAGATGCACGGTGATCAACTGCCCAGCCTGCAGACCTGGATCGATTTTCCACGCCAAGCCGCTGAAGACATTAGAGGTTATGCCGTCAGCTGTATCGCCGGCGATAACGCGATAAGTGGTGTCGTAGAAGAGCGCTGTGGTGCCTTGGCTGGTGGCGATGCAGGTGCAGGGGACTTGGAGGAGAAAGTCGGTGATGCCGTTGGGGCGGGTGATGTTGCGTGCGAGGGAGGTGTTGGAAGAGTAGATGGAGGCGATGGTGGAGAGGGAGAGTTTTTGGGATTGGGCGTAGAGAAAGGAGTTGCAGGTTGGGGTGGAGGAGGGGGTTTTGCAGGTAATGGGGATGGAGGAGTTTTGGGCTGAGGAGAGGCGGAGGTGGAGGAGGAGGAGGAGGAGGAAAGGCATGGTTTTGGATTGGTTGGAAGGAAAAAGGGAAGGGGGAAAAGGGGTTGAAGAAGATGAAGGGGTAGTAGGAGTGACCGGGAGGTTAGTTTTGTATAAAAATATGATTTTTGTGTGGATTTATAAAATGGGTGAGTGAGAACTTGCTCTTACAAACTTACCACACAGGTTTTGTTTATTTTGCATTTTTGACAGCTTAAGTTTTATAGTTATGTCCATAACATTTAAATGTTTAATACCATACATATATATATATATACATATTTTCATGCACATATTTATAACATTTTAAACTTTAGGTAAGAGATGTATTTAAGAATTGTGTGGTGCATCTGTAAATTTCCCCTAATTTTTGTAAGAAAATGTAATAAATCATATAAATATTATTACATATAT